AGCTGTGCAGTGTTACTTATTACTTCTCACTGGACTGAAGTCTGTTGTGCTTCACTGCTAATAAAGATTACAGACTTTAGAATTCATAGTTTCCATACTCCCTGCTCTGATATCTTAAATTTTTAATTTATAATTTTTTTTTGGGTGCAGAACGTTTATTGATGGTATCTCAGAGAGTAAGGAGGGCTCCCTAGGCCCCTCCTGTTGTTATCGGGGGTCCGGGAAGGAAATTGTGAGGGAGATGCTCAGTGTTGGGGACAGGGACTCCTCAGCAACCGAGGGCCTCTCTCTTGCTCTCAGTGTCCTTGCTGGGGTGGGTGGTCCAGGGTTTCTTACTCCTTGGAGGCCATGTAGGCCATGAGGTCTACGACCCTGTTGCTGTAGCCGTATTCATTGTCATACCAGGAAATGAGCTTTACAAAGTTGTCATTGAGAGCAATACCAGCCCCAGCATCAAAGGTGGAGGAGTGGGAGTTGCTGTTGAAGTCACAGGAGACAACCTGGTCCTCAGTGTAGCCCAGGATGCCCTTCAGTGGGCCCTCAGATGCCTGCTTCACAACCTTCTTGATGTCATCATACTTGGCAGGTTTCTCCAGGCGGCATGTCAGATCCACAACGGATACATTGGGGGTAGGAACACGGAAGGCCATGCCAGTGAGCTTCCCATTCAGCTCTGGGATGACCTTGCCCACAGCCTTGGCAGCACCAGTGGATGCAGGGATGATGTTCTGGGCAGCCCCACGGCCATCACGCCACAGCTTTCCAGAGGGGCCATCCACAGTCTTCTGAGTGGCAGTGATGGCATGGACTGTGGTCATGAGCCCTTCCACAATGCCAAAGTTGTCATGGATGACCTTGGCCAGGGGGGCTAAGCAGTTGGTGGTGCAGGACGCATTGCTGACAATCTTGAGCGAGTTGTCGTACTTCTCGTGGTTCACACCCATCACAAACATGGGGGCATCAGCAGAAGGGGCAGAGATGATGACCCTTTTGGCCCCACCCTTCAAGTGAGCCCTGGCCTTCTCCATGGTGGTGAAGACGCCAGTGGACTCCACGACATACTCAGCACCAGCATCGGCCCATTTGATGTTAGCGGGATCTCGCTCCTGGAAGATGGTGATGGCCTTCCCGTTGATGACAAGCTTCCCATTCTCAGCCTTGACTGTGCCGTTGAACTTGCCATGGGTGGAGTCATACTGGAACATGTAGACCATGTAGTTGAGGTCAATGAAAGGGTCGTTGATGGCAACAATCTCCACTTTGCCACCAGATGGAGAGCAGAAGGCAGCCCTGGTAACCAGGCGCCCAATACGGCCAAATCCGTTCAAACCGACCTTCACCATTTTGTCTACGGGATGAGGCTGGCACTGCACAAGAAGATGCGGCGATCTCTGGAACAGGGAGGAGCAGAGAGCCAATTTATAATTTTTAATTCTTTAAAAATTCTATCAGTGTGATATTTTGCTGAAACAAGAATGTGTCTCATCACTTAAGTCTTTTTGAATTGCTTCTGAAAATGTGTCTAGCTCATGGACCACTTTTCTATGTTTGGTATTCTTTCCTTGACCTCATTGTTCATTATAAAGGAAAGAGCATTCTATATACATGAGTTTACTTGGTCTTTGTGCTGCAAGAATTTGAAGCGCAGTGGCTACACGATCAGTTTCTTAAGAATCTGAGTTTAGTTTTATCCATGTGTTTATTCTTAGAGTCACACTCGATTTCATGAATGAGATTAGAGAATTAGGGTGCACTCAAATGTGGAGGAGCAGAGTCTATGCAGCACAGACGCAGATTTGAGTGATAACCCATGGCAAGCATTCTGCATTCTCAATGTGCTTAACATTGATCTGTTGGTTCTATAATATCCCCCTTGCTCTCAAGGGCCACGTTCATTAGGTAGTTTACTATGAGAATATACATGGAAATCATGGAGACAAACTATAAGCCAAGGTGACCTAGAAGCCATAAGGTTGTCTAACCAGAAAAGTTTAGCTCTTACGTCCAACAGGGAAGAAAACACTGATGACTGACTAAAATATAGCTTACGTTTGAAACTAAGCATATTCTTTTTACTAACAGTTGCAACAAAATTCACTTTATTGAGATTTTTTTTGTTATTATTTGTGTGCTGAAAACAGAAGTACATAAACAAACATAAAAGAAAATGTAAACATGACTTAGGTCTCAGTATGGCAGGAGACCATCAGCTTGCTTCTGGTTATGGGATTAGTAGATAACAAGTTGGCTGTATTTGCACCACTGCTATTCTCAAATACTGGGAGACAGACAGTGTGCACTTATGAGAGTTTCTTATAGATCTGAAAAATAAGATCTCCCATAACTGTTATGTAATCTTTTAAGTAAATGAATGGCAATCATATCTATAAGAGGTAATTAATATAAAATCATGTAGAGGTACTTTATAAAAATAAAATGAAATTTAGTTATGAATATAGTAATGGGGACAGAATATAAAAGTACTTTAAAAAGTGATCACTATTATCTCTGTCTCCTACTTTTGACTATCACTGCTTTTCAACAAACTACAGTAGGGCTACTGAATGTCTTTCAGAAGTGTGGGTCTACATTAAGTTCACTGGCAATATGTCACTTCAAACTGTGGAAGACAGTATAAGGTCACGGAAAGAAGCCTTCACTTTTCAATAGTCAGATTGTATATAAAAATTGGCACTTGGTGCTCATCAAAGAAGAAGAAATATTGGATGTGCTCTAAATGTCCATTGTGTTTTGGAGCCAACTACCTGATGGAAGTCATCAGTTATATGCAAATGAACTGTCAATGGCTTGCCACAGTTGGCAATCACTGGACTGTGAAGGGTATGTCTTAATAAGAACTGAAGCTCTTCACATACTTTGATTTACTGGAAATAAAATGGAAAAGTCCTTTGAGACTACAAAGGACACTTGTTTCAGATAAAACGTCTAGACAGTAGCAATATATTTATGGCTTTTATTATAGCAGAACTGCAAATTAGAACGGAGTGCTGAGAAAGTCCCTGTGACCCAGCTAAATTCTAAAGCACTGCTGTGGCTGGAGCAGTACAATCTTTAAAATAGCTAAGCCAACTAAACAAGAGACCATTGAGTATGGGGGATACATGCAAGGTCAAGATTTGGTTTCTTATATCTTTTAAAATTGTTTATATCTTACATTACATGTTGTTCACAAATTTTTATTTTTTCTGAAAAAAACTCTCTATACTAATTAATGAAACTATTAGAACAGTTGAAAGTTAAGCTTCTGTGAACCTGAAACAAAGGTCACAACTCAAAAATTTCAGTATAACCAAATTGTTACTTTTCTTTCCAACTTCATTTCCAAAGCACAGATACAACTGAAACTAACTCTTAGTTTACATTAAGTTGTTCACAGCAATATTGTATTTATACAGTATTTTCAGCTGTGGTTCTATACCATTATAGAACATTGATGAATAAATCAACTGTTTTTTTGTTCATACATAATTCCAGGTATGCGAATTTTTTCCTTTAATCCTAAACATCCTGCTGCTTTAAGAAAAATATGTGGTTTGTTTCATCATGCAGTATGAGTTAGTAGAAGCTCTGAGCCAAGCAGTCTCCCAGATTCAGGCCTGTCTGTCCTAAAGTCATCCTTTAAAGCTAAGACTGCAGTCTGCATCCAGGCTCTAAAGCATGGGAAGCATGTGGGGAAAGCATTGACATTTCTTAGTCACTCCAAGTGGAACTTCGAATAGATCATACCTGTTAATACTTCACTGGGGAGAGCTAAGTAGTCATCTGCTTCTACATTTGAGGGCAGGACAGAGTGTCATCTATTGTGCTTCTGAATTTTGTGTGTGTGCAGATATCTGTCAGAGGATGTAGACAATCTGCATTCTCCCTTATCTTCAAGAACAAGAGATAATTTTTAGTGATTTCACTTGTTTGTTTTTGTTATTATTATTATCATCATTATTATTGTTGTTGATATTAATTACTATTGTTATTGTTATAATATAATCATAAAATTATACAAAGAATGCAATCATTTCTAAATTCTTCATCTTTTGTTAATTTTCTTATAGAGGTCACCAAAACCCTCAAAGCATCAAGCATCAATTTAAAGGAATTCGACTTTTCTTTTTATTGCTTAGGTAGCTACTTATAGATGTTGAAGAAATTTTAGTTTTATTTTGTGTTATACATTTTTATTACTCAATAAAATTATCACAAATAAACAATCTCAGCTATATTTTGATAATGTTTCTTTTTAAAACACTACTCAGTTCCATTTTAGAAACTAATATTAGAAATTAATTATTGCTAGAGCAATAAAAAAGAACATGGAATTTTATCATCTCCAAAGTTTTCTGTATGAATAATCAAAAACAGATTAGTCAAAGAGTATTCTCCTGGAAAGATCACAAAGAAATCCAAATACCCCCTCACCCATAGAAAAAGAAGTGTTAAACAATCAAAATTCAAATTCATTTGTTAACATTTTTCAGCAACTGTTCTAACTTCAGTCTGATTCTTTCAAGCCTGCTGGCTCATACTGAAATTATTCCTTAAATTACAGTTTAAATAAATACAATATTGGAATCAGAAAAATAACAAAAGGACTTGTTCCTAATGTTTTATGAGAAGTGTCTACATGTTGTATTTGCTTTCCACAATGATAAACATATATTTTCAGAACAATGAAAATATATCAACAAACCACAAACTGTTGAGACTCTGTTATAGCCACACTAAAGATGTTCTAGAGATTATCTATGTGGGGAGAAAGAGTGAGCACAGTCCTTTTTACTCCTAGGACTCCTCATGGACACATCACACTCTAGTGATCCTGAGGTAAATGATTGTGGTGTGATTTTTTATTGAGATTCCTGATATTGGTGAGGCAATTCTGGCATGATATTCTGGTGATGTACTTATTTTGCAATCTTATTTTTTGCATGATATTTGTCTTCAAATAAGTACTTTGTATCAATAT